GTTGGTTTGGAATGAGGCCTGTCCTGAGCCTCAGGAATAAGCCAGTACTGCAAAAAACTAAAAAGGCTTAACTACAGTAAAGTAGGCATGGAGATGATTTGCTTCACCCTAGTGGTGACTAGAGAATGTCTTAAAAAATGAAGATGGGTTGTTTGTCATTCACATAAGGTGATATGGGCTCTTAAAACAATGCACATCACAAAGAGGTGGGAGATGAGGTCTTTTTATTGCAGTAATAAGCACATATGCAGTACATATGGATTTCATGTCACTGTTTTGCTCCAGATGCAGTAACAGTAGAGTGAATGGTATTATGAAAAACACAAAAATATTTAAATAACACATATGTTAAAGGATTAATTCACTCCCAGAAAATTCTGTCAAACATTTATTCACCTCCACTTGTTCCAAACCTGTATGAGCTTCTTTCTTCTGTTGAACACAAAAGAAGATATTTTGGAAAATGTTGGTATCCGAACAGTTGGGTGAGTAAATGATGACAGAATTTTCATTCTAGAAGTGAACTAATCCTTTAATTAATTTCTTTTATTCTGACTCATTCTGACATAGACTTGGGGTGCTGTCCATCCATCTGGGGCTCTCTTCAGTCCAGCTCTCCTAACGATTCGGGTAAGATCTCTCTCAAACTTAGCCTGAAAACGTAAGAAATAAATTGAATGGAACACAATACATCAGTATGGTCTCTAAATGTAAATCACTTGTGTTAGCAATGCTTCGGAGTTTGAAAATACAACTTGCATCAGATCTCCATTACTTTGCAATACTCTTTATCAAAAAAAAAAATTACATAACACAGCTAATGACATGAATACATCTGCACCCAATCACTAGAATAAATAAATAACTTTTATTTTACCTTCTGATCACAGCAAAAAAGTGATGTTCTTTCTCAGTATTTCTGTCTTATTTTTCAGTGCAAATGTCTGAAGAATCTTAAATCAAGATACATTCACTTCAGAAGCAAAATGACATCAAATAAGAAGTCTTGTTTTTAAAAAAAATTTGAGTTTATGATTAAAAAGTGAGGTAATGATTAAAACAAGAACAGATATCTGCCAATGGGATCAGAAAATCGTAATTCAAAAGGAAAACAAGTTGTCATTCCTCAATGACAGATATTTGTTCTTGTTTTAAGCATAAGATTTCTCAGAAAACACACCTTCTTATGTTAAATTTTCATATCAGATAAATGTATCTTGATTTAAGTATTTAAGATATTTGTAATGGAAGGCAAAACAAAAATACAGAGGAAGACATTCATTTTATGCAGTGTATGCAACATTTAATGCTGGATACTTTATGGATTTAAGACCTTCTGCTCTGATTTATTACCTTTTTAAGTTTTATTTGAAATCACATAACAAAAAATACATTATTTACTCTTGTTGTCTAGATGACTAACATAACTGACCTGCTTTTTCTTCCGCCTGACATCTTTCACTCTCCTCCTCAGGAACTTGGTCCGTTTTAGCAGCTTCTTGTATTTGTGCCTGTTCATCTTAGTGTCTGGAATAAATATTGCCACTTGTGTCATGTAACCATGAAACTCACATCCTGTATTGTTTTAGCTGGTAGCACCATTGCACATCCCCTGCTTATGCAATAAAAGTGGCCTGTTGCCTGTTGTGTACCTTTGGTTGATCCAAAAGGCAAAACTCTGACCATGAAGGTCATGAAGTGTCTGAACTCACTCCCAAATCTGCAGGAAACTGGAACAGAATCAAAGACCAGGACATCTCAGTCACTTTATATTTGATATTCCCCTGGAGAGATAAGCTGCTAAGATTCAAATATAGCTAATATTAGACCCATGCTTCCTATATGACCGTAATATCACTTGTCAAGTCATGTTATGTAGGTAAACTGTTTTGCCAAGACTGTCTGTCATTAAAATTAATGTGGCCAAAAAAAGGCATGTGACCAGAAATACCCACAGAACTGTCTCTGTAACTATACTTAAGTCTTGTAGTTTTTATATAGTCTTAGATTTAGGAGTTTAAATTTAGGACGATGAATTTATCAGAATTGAAAAAAAAAAAGTGAAAAGAGCAGAAGAAGTGGTAATAGTTTCGCTATCTGCAAAGTGAATAAACATCTCTAATAACTAGTCTTACAGGATGTCTATATGAGTATATATAGTCTATATGGGGGGGGGGGGGGCTATTATTAACAGTGGATATCTTCAACAAGATGATTATATGATGACTATGTTTTTTTATCAGTTCATAGTTAATAAGTGTGCAGTTAGAATTTTGTACCTCCCTCCCCTCACACACCCCCTCTACACTGCAGGAGTCTCCACCATTTTACTTGTTTATTTTGCCAAAATTATGCATTAGGTTGCTCTATATAAAGAATAATTACATTTGCAAAAAAACAAAACAATTACAAGCACATGGCACTGTACCGATGAATGAAATACATTCCTGAAATAAAAATAAAATAAACGCATTTACTAAATAAACATTATTTTGTTTGTTTGTTTTTCTGTAGCTATTTAACCTTTTTTTTATACTGTAAAATGTTACATAAGCTATTAAATAGCTAAATATACTAAAGCATCACGTACATCCAAATATCCATTATAGTTTCAAATCGAAAAGAAAGTTTAAAACTGAACTGAACGGGTTAATTGACTCCCCAAGTTTGGTGACTGTTCGTGAATATAAGAAACTATAGAATATAGGAATATAGAATATATGTATATAATATAATATAGGATATAGAATATAGGAAAAGATGAATAATAAGTGTGCAGTTAGAATTTTGTACCTCCCTCCCCTCACACACCCCCTCTACACTGCAGGAGTCTCCACCATTTTACTTGTTTATTTTGCCAAAATTATGCATTAGGTTGCTCTATATAAAGAATAATTACATTTGCAAAAAAACAAAACAATTACAAGCACATGGCACTGTACCGATGAATGAAATACATTCCTGAAATAAAAATAAAATAAACGCATTTACTAAATAAACATTATTTTGTTTGTTTGTTTTTCTGTAGCTATTTAACCTTTTTTTATACTGTAAAATGTTACATAAGCTATTAAATAGCTAAATATACTAAAGCATCACGTACATCCAAATATCCATTATAGTTTCAAATCGAAAAGAAAGTTTAAAACTGAACTGAACGGGTTAATTGACTCCCCAAGTTTGGTGACTGTTCGTGAATATAAGAAACTATAGAATATAGGAATATAGAATATATGTATATAATATAATATAGGATATAGAATATAGGAAAAGATGAATACATTTGAATTTTAGAGTAATTTTGGATTAAATAATGTATGAAATAAATTCATGAAATAAAAATAGATTTACTAAATAAAAATTCTTAACTGCGAATTTATCCGTATTTACCTTTTATGCACTGCAGCATGTTACACATGATATTCTGCAGCAGCTTAATTTTACAGTTTTGTTTGTGGATGAACCGATGGCGCAAACCTAACTTTAGAATATTTTCATCTGATATAAAGTCTCTTTTTACTTCTTTTAAGAATATGTCAAATCCTTTGAACTCAAAGGCTTCTAAAACTTTTAACATTCTTGAGTCTATTGTAAGCTATCTTTAAAAGACTTTCCTTTCTTTCTTTTTTTTCATTGGTATATTTTGTTAATTTGTGTAGCTTGTCTAACTTCATGTGATGTCCGTTAGCCCCATGTTACTTCATAACTGTTGTTATTCTTTCAATTGCAATTTTAAAAAAAAAAATTTTTTTTTTTATTATTGCAAACAATTCAGAGTTGACATTAATGAATAACAACTTTGCATACATTACACATACTGTATCAACACTACATCCAGTGTCATCTGAACATATGAAAGAGAAGAGAAGAAAAAATAATTGATAATGACTGTTAAAAGAGAAAGATGCATGTAAACATCTTTTTTATGAACATAAAAGGCAGGAACAGAACAAATAAAGAAAAGAGGATTTAAAAAAAACAACAACAAAAAAACACATCAAAACAAGTATTAATCATGGTACATGAAAGATCTCATCATATCTCTTCAAAAAAGAAATACATTTTTTGTTATTAATTACTCTTAGTGATTTAATTAAATGTTCTACTTCACATAAGAAATCTATAAAAGTAGGTATTTTCTTAAGAAACCTTTGTTTGTTAAAATAGAATTTTGCCACAAGGATAAGAAAGTTAACAGCAGATTCTAAAGATTTGTTTCAATTGCATTTTTTTTTTTAAAAGAACCGATGGCGTGACGTCATGGACGACACCCCCGTCCAGCCCCTGTGACGTGAGTCCAGGGTACTTCTCAGGTTCGGCGTTATCCGGGTTTAAAGCTAGAGAAGCCGGGTGTTGGGCTTCATCAGGCCGCTGGCCTAAGTGACTACGGTTTGGTCTTTATTTAAAGTTTGAACGTTTTTGTGAGGTACGATGGCTCTTTGAAATGGCGCAGAAAGACACCCTGTTACATCTCTTCGCAGGGGGGTGAGTGGAAATTACTTCTATATAACGTTATAGCTATATATGAAACCGAGGTTGACGGTTACGGGCTAGGAGGTCGACAGCAGCTTTAAACGCACTGCAGTGACTTTTACTGAATGTCACACTCGTCTCAGACGAGAAAGCATTTTTAAGACTGATTTTCTGTTACTAATATCCCCTCTGTGATATTTCGGCGAGGAGTTTAAATGAAGACCGCTCTTGTTAGCTTTTAGCTAGCGGTGAAACTAGCCAGCGCAGCGTCAGGCACGCGACCGAAGCGTTTTATGTATCATTTAAATACGCGAGCAGGTTTAGTGCTAAAATCACACTAATATAAAGAGCAATTAATAATAATTGTATTAACTGTTGTAAAATGGTGCCAGGAACGTAAAAACGTTATTTCTCTCTAGCTTGTCAAAGACACACAGAGCAGTGTGTTGGGTTACGTACGTTAATTATGTTATGAGCAACGAGACGAGGTTCATCTCTCGCGAGCTCTTCATGTGCTGCTATTAAAATGTGAAATATGTGCATATGCATGTGAAATGTTTAGGATATAACTAAATTATCGTCTACGCAGAGTTAGTTTGCTTTAGTACCCTTTGAATGTTTAAATAGAAGCGCCTTGCTTTACATGAATACTTTCAAGGGCGTAACGCAGTTATTTACGTCCTGTGACCCGTGTTTTGATATCAGTACTTATCTACTACTCCCTTAAGACTGATATTGATTTATTTTTGTCATTTTAAATGTGTATGTCACACTTTCTCATTAGTATGAAAACACGCCTGTGTTTTGTGCGCATTTCAATGCGTTGGCTTTGCGCAGGCTGTTCAGTGCCACCTGCCCTTAATAAAATGTGGCTGGAGAAGTGCTTGCTGCTTTCAAGGACAGAGAGCTTCATGCTCATGTCAAGCATGTGTGCTAGTGAGTAATGAATGTAGGTTAACGTGTGACTGCTATTTAAAAGGGCAATTGAAGTGCACGTGTTTGCTGGCTAAAGATTTCATATGCATTTTTACTGACTAGTTAATACGGTTTGTGAAATTATATAGTGATATTATAAAGTCAAAATGTTGCACCAGAATTAAATTACTGCCTTTTATTTATTATACTGAGGGCAAAACATATGAGTGAGGTTTTTTTTTATTCAAAGTGTTTTAGTTTGTATAACTTAGTGTATGTTTTTTTCTTAATATTAGGTTATAAGAAACTTTTTTTTAATTAAAATGCATTTTTATTGCTGTATAGCTCATAATACATAATTTTATTATGAAAATAAATTCAGCAGATTTTATCTATCTATCTATCTATCTATATATCTATATATATATATATATAATATATAAAATCTAAAACGTATAATTTTTAAAATGTTAAATACTGCTAAAATACCATTTCCTCACCTCTTTTCACATTTTCAATGGATCCCCTGAAAATTGAGAAGAAAAAAAAACAAATTTTTTAATGGGTTAAAATACACTTGCTGAAGGCAGAAGTGAAGTCAGAAAAAAAAAACTGATCATGGATGTGATCCTGTAAATGTCATAATGGGAAAGCTATACAGCATAAAAGGATGTTACCACATCAGGTTTTTGCATGTTGCCAGTTTTTTTTTGTTTTTTATAACTGAAGTTATAAGTTAATAATTTCAATGCCAGATTGTTAACGATCTAACAAAGTTTTGAGCTCAATTAAATATTAGTTAGATTCAGGTGACTTGTTTTGAAGGCCACAGCCATCTGCATGTTTGTTTTATTCATTTCAAACATGGGCATTATATAATCATGCCCCAAGCTTTGTTTTTCTGTTACAAAATGGTTTATTATAAAAGCATTACCCTTGGTGCTTGCGAGCTGATGAGAAGTCGAGCTGTGTGAAGTAAGTCAAGAGGAGACTTGCATCAGTGTTGGGCTTAAGGCTTTTGTTGAGGACGTCTGCCCTTGTAACTGAATGTGTTTCTCAGGCAGGTTTGTGATTAAGCTGTCCCTTATTTGCTGTCCTGAGATCAGAGGCATTGTGCTCTTCCCATGTCTTGTACTTCTCTAAAACAACCCGTGACCTGTGTCAACATGTTTTGACTTCTGTGAAACATGATCTGTGATTTGAGCTCTTGCAATTTATTTGCCTCAAGTCTCACTAGAAGATGATACATAACAGGTGATTAAGTGTAATTGGTGGGTTCCAAAAAATAACTTGCAGGTTGGGCTGGATTTTTCCCACTTCGTTGGTTAACTTGTTGTTTTTATTTATTTACATGGTCAGGCTCTTCATCTCAGTTTGATTAGATTAAACCAGTGTAGGGCTCTAATCATTTTATTTTGTAATGTGAATCACGATCAATGTCACCTGCGTCACATTGTGTCATTTTGATAAAGTTCAGTTTGTTTACCTTGACCTCACTTTCATACTCTTGACTCATACAACAGCCAGAAAGGTTGTCCACAAGCATTGCTGACGTGCACGCATATATTTGCGTCTAAAGTTTAGTTTGTAGTAGATTTTAGTGTTACCTCAAACAGCAAGTGTAACAGCAGCCTTTATCAAATTTTGTAATCACAAGATTTTGTCGGTTTATTTAATCTGGAGGTCCTCAACCTTTTTTGGTCACAACCCAATTTTTAGGTTGCATTATTCTTGTGAATTCGCTTTATTTAAACTTTATATATATATATATATATATATATATATATATATATATATATATATATATATATAGAGAGAGAGAGAAAATAATATTGTGACTTATTATAGGTTAAAATCATGTTTCTTTTGTAATATTTTTTACAGTGTTATTCCTGTAATGGCAAAGCTGAATTTTCAGCAGCCATTACTCCAGTCTTCAGTCAGTGTCACATGATCCTTCAGAGATCATTCTAATATGCTGATTTGGTGCGCAAGAAACATTTGATCAATGTTGAAAATAGTTGTGCTGCTTAACTTTTCTTTAGATTTCCTATAGCATTATAAATATTAATTGTCACATATGATCAATTTAATGAATAGTTGCTGAATAAAAGTATTTATTCTCTCCACAGGTGTGGTGGAACTGTAGGTGCCATCATGACCTGCCCCCTGGAGGTATTAAAAACCAGACTACAGTCGTCTGGCCTCACCCTCAGACCTGTTTTCCAGGTCCAGCTGGGCACATTCAACGGTGCTGGCGTCATTAGACCAGGACCCGTCACCCCTGGCTTGCTACAGGTGTTACGGTAAGCAAGGAAGTACAAACAGTATGACACAGTCATCCACCCTGAATGTTAATGTGCCTGAGCGTAGATCCGGAACCTCTGTGGGACGGCACCGTTGGTGACGTCTGAAGTCTGTTATGTGGATGCATTTAGCAACTGGATATGATCTTCTAAATGAACGCAGATTAAAGCCGCTCTTATTCTGCTGTTAGCTGCTGCAGTTGATGATGATAAGGGGCAGGGTTTGCCTTATGTAAAGGCAAAAGTGTTTGTAAGTGTTCCCTGTGAATGTCTATTTTGGGTAATTGGGCACAGCATGGCATTGCTCTCATTGCTCTCACTGTCACATGATGCCTTCTTGCTGTGCTCGGATTACTAGCTGCAAACACAAGGTGTCCCTGACTAAGCATCTCTGTGGGAGTGAATGGGTCTATGTGACTTCCAAAACCTCAAGAGAGACATTTCAATTTAGTCAAATTGTTCAATATCTGTCTTGGAAAAAGGGCACCATGTCTGACCTTTATTCTTCTTGAGGAAGCATTTGCCCTGTGACTCATTTTTTGTGTTAAAAAAAGTGTTGAAATAGATGTTTGAATTACTTTTTCTTTCAGGAAGTGATATATTATCAATCTGTAATGACAAAAAGAACTTCTGGAAAGTCACTTTGTGAGAGGCATGATTCATTACTGTCAACATTCAGTATTTATCTGATAAAGAGTTTTGTTTCATATGGGTGGATTATAAAGGAAATGAATGCGTATAAAGGTGTCACTAGTTTTGTAGCACAATCGCATTGTTCAACATAAACTGTGTAAGTGGATTATAAACTGGTTTCGTGCAATCTGACTGAAATAAGAAGCCACACAGTAATGTTTGAATCTGTTTAAATCTCATCTCTCTGTCCTCATCAGGTCAATTCTAGAGAAAGAGGGACCAAAATCTCTATTCAGAGGATTGGGTCCAAATCTTGTTGGTGTTGCACCCTCAAGGTAATGGTTCAATTCAGTTTTGTGCAATTCACGTAAATTACCCACTCTACAGGCCAATTTGTTATACAAACATATATATTTTTAAATCAACCTCAGAGGTCTGTCGTTTTAAATATTGCGTTCTTCTGTTTCCTGTTACAAGACTCTTTCCAGTAGTAAAATGGACACAATTGATAAAATATATACAATATAATTGTCAGTACTGTGTTTGCATCATTCCTCAAACTAGTGACATGAATATTGACAAGGTATAAAACAATAAAGATAACTTATGACCAAGAGCTGACTTTTTGATGGATACAGTCCAATAATAATTGTTATTATTTTTATTATTATTGTATTTAAAAATATATATTTCTACCTAACATTAACAATGCCTTTCCTTGTAGCTTTCATTTTAAATTGGGAAAATAGGAGGAGGAAAAAGTTGGTTCTCCATATACACAATAATACTGTAATAATAAAACTGCAATATAATAATGGTATACTAAATTTCTCCAAAACATAACTGTACCTTTTATTGTAACGTTAGTTTGTATTAGGAAAAGTAGTTGATGTTTAGATAAGGTACAAAAGTGATGAAATTCTTAGTAGTAATAAGTATTATTTATTTATTAATTGCATTCAAATTCAAATTAATTATAAGCAAGCAAGAAATCTTTTTTCACTCCTCTAGGCTGTAGTTGTTCTCTGAAAATGTAGTCGTTGTTTCCCCACAGTCATCATGGCATTAGATCTGGGTGTTTAGTCAGCTCTTTGTGCAGTCTGTTCCAGACATTCAGCGAAGAGAACGGACAGCACTGTCAGGAACTCTCACTGCAAGCTGTTTGGCTTGATAAAACATTGGCAGCCTTTCAGTGCGAACAGCCCTTTTTCATATTAAAATGAACTCTGCACTGTCATGCGTGGAGAGAGGAAGCAGGGGGTGTTGAGTTCAACAGAGTTAAGGTGCTGATATTCTGTTTTTCCTTTTGTTCTTCTTCAGGGCGATCTATTTTGCAGCTTATTCAAAGTCAAAAGAGACTTTCAATGGCATCTTTGTCCCAAACAGTGGAATTGTCCATATGTCCTCAGCTGGCTTTGCAGGTGATGCCTTAAGGTTATTAAAAAAACACTTGTGCAACATTGCTGATAATGTTTCCCAGAACTTGAGTGAAATTTATGCAACTGTTTGATGCTTTCAAAGAAAAGTGGGTGTTTGATTCCCTAATTGCATTGTTTTTCTTACAGCATTTGTCACAAACTCCCTGATGAATCCCATCTGGATGGTTAAAACAAGAATGCAGCTTGAGAGGAAGTATGTTAATGCTGTAGACTTTCACCCTGCTTTACTCTCAACAGGGAACTTGCATGAGGGCATGACACATATCTGTATCAGACCCTTGAGTTGTGGCCCTTTTGTGTGTGAGATGTAATGCATCCCCAGATACCGTGAGGGTAATTGAGTTTTTTAGGATGGGGGACATACAAACTAATTAGCACTGTCTCTGTTACACAAATGTCATGATGATTAGCATGTGATCCAATCTGCTGCAGTGCAGATATCCACCTTGACACAGCCGTCGGGGCTTAGCAGGCATGTTCTATATTTGCGCTATAAAGAGCGCCGGCAGTAAACTGCTAGAGTCAGATGAGAGAAGTATGTCAGATGGTACAGTCTGAAAATAGTCTGGCATTTAATTCTCCCTCACACTCTGCATGCAAACCACATTTGTGCATTGCAAATTACAAAGTCTTTGACCTTGATTTTAGTATTCAATGTCTAAACTAGGTTTTGAAACCAGAACTGTTACCTCTGAGTTAATCATGCTAAATTCTTGACCTTTGTAATCCATTTCTTCATAATCACCTGACCGACTGTCTCTTTGTCCTCCAGGGCACATGGGGAGAAGAAAATGAACGCGTTACAATGCGCACGGTACGTGTACAAGACTGAAGGTATGCGAGGTTTTTACCGGGGCCTGACAGCGTCGTACGCTGGCATCTCGGAGACCATGATCTGCTTCCTTATTTACGAGACGCTGAAGAAGTACCTAGCGCAGAGTCGATTCACCACGCCTGACACTGACACAGAAAAAGGGGCTTCAGATTTCTTGGGCCTCATGGTTGCTGCTGCTTTTGCCAAGGGTTGCGCCTCCTGCATAGCCTATCCACATGGTAGGTTGTTATTACCTGTCAGCCAGCGTAAACCAGTCTATGTCTAAAAATAAACATGGATTGCTTGCTCTTTGGCAGTAAGACTTGCACTTTTAAAACAGGACTTGGAGTGCATGAAAAATACAGTGAAATAACATAATGTTTTGATGGATAAAAAAAACATATGAATTTAGGCAAGTTTTATTGGTCATTACAACAACATGCCGTTATTCCTAATGGGATGAGTTGCTAAAAAAAACGTGAAAACCCTGCGCAGGTTATAATTGACTCAAAAATTAAGAGGGAAATAAAAAAGTAATTCATTTAATTAAACATGACAGTAAAGACTTTCACATTGCAAAGTTCATTAAAAAAAATATTAAGCAACAATGTTTTTTTTTTTTTTACAATATTGATAAGAAATGTTTCTTGAGTATTAGAATTACATAAAAATGATGTGACACTGAAGACTGGAGTAATGGTAAATTCAGCTTTGTCATTACAGGAATAAATTACATTTTTAAATCTATTAAAATAGAAGAGTAATTTCAAATTGTAATAATATTTCACAATGTAATTAATGTTGATAATTTTTGATCAAATAAATGCAGCTTTGGTGAGCATAAGAGACTTTTTTTTTCAAAAACATTTAAAAAAATCTTACCATTCCCAAACTTTTGAATGATACATGTAATGAAGAAAAAAAAAATATATATATATATATATATAATAAATTTTTTTTTTAAATATATATGTATTATTTATTTTATTTTATATTACATGTAGATACTTATACTACCACTGAAAAGTTGGAGGTCAATAACATAAAAAACAAATCATTCTTTCATTCTGCAAGGATGCATGAAATTGATCAAGAGTGATAGTAAAAACAATTTTACAAAAGCTTTTTATTTAAAGTATTAATAAAGAAAATTCAGGATAAGAATTTAAGAGTAATGATTTCCAGAAACGTCTACGTCGTCTCATTTTTAATAGCCAACCTTTCTTGGTGTGTTTTCCAGAGGTAATTCGGACAAGACTAAGAGAAGAGGGAAGCAAATACAAGTACTTCTTTCAGACGGCGCGTCTTGTGGCGGTGGAAGAGGGATATGCAGCTTTTTACAGAGGACTCATTCCACAGCTCATCAGACAGATCCCCAACACAGCCATAGTGCTGTCCACCTATGAGCTCATTGTCCATCTGCTGGGTGAACCCTCCAAATGAAGCTGCACACAACAAGCACAAAGATACTTTTAACCTGCGGCTAAAGTAGACAGAAAAGAATCCATTGTGAACAGGGATGTTTATGTGAATTACCCAAGGACTTTAAATAGCTTTTTTTTATTTTAAGTTGACTGCATACGTTAAAAGAACTGTTTTGCTTGTTTGTGTGTTATGTAAATGGCGCATATTGCTTAGCTACTTCACGATGTTTGTGTATACTGTATCAGTGTACAGCAAAAGTTCATCTGAATATAAAAATAGTGCTTTTAAGTTAACTAAATTATTCTTATTATAAGTAGCGTTTTGTTGCAGGCCATTGAAGTCTTTGGATCTATGATATGTCCAAGAGTTTTGGAGTTGATCATTAGTGGATCCGGGTTTTATTATTATGTTCCTGGAAGGAATGCAAATGATACTGTAATGGGGGCGTAGAATAGCTTGTTAGGAGCTGACAAGCTCACGTTGCAATATTTTGTAATACTTTCCTGCTTCATGACAACTAGTAGCACTGGAATCTGACCAATCAATTCCATTCACCTCTTTACTCGAAACTTTTCATCGGTTTACTACATGTTATAGTTGTTCATCTTTTACAGAAAAGGAGGGCCTTGATCCATATGCTGCTGTCGGTTTGATAAAATAAATTATGAAAATAATTTTTTTGTTGTTGGGAATGCAGAGATAAAATGAGCCACATAAATAAATACAGCATTTTTAAGACTGTTTTGATGAATTTATGTCTGTTAGCAAAGCTTTGAAAACAAAGGAAAGAGTCAATAATCCCAGCTGTTTACTTGAAGGTTCCAAAACACCAACAAAGAACATGATCTTTGAGCCTTCTAGTAGTAGATGTCATATCTCTTGTGCCACAATGTTATGTACAAAATATATCGTAATGGCAACATTATGTACTTTTAAGCATGTTATCTTGTTAATTACGATTCAACTTGATTACTGATACAATACTAATTTTATACACAAAACGTTAAGGTGAAAGATGAGAATTTATTGTTGTAAAGCTTGTGAATGGCTGTTACATCTTTTGCCTCAAGAGGGCAGGTTTATACCATATAAACCTGCTTCAGTTCACTGTCCTGAAAAGGCAAGATGGTGGTCTGCAAAATGTATAAATAAGGAGACAATGCTAATCTTAATAACTGTGCAACATAGATACAAAACAATATTGTACAAATATATATATATATATTTATTTTTATTTAAGAACTGATAACATGTCTGTTATTGCATCGATTAATTATATATTTATATTTTACATTTGATTGTTTTATATCTTTTTATATTTGATTCATATAATTAACAGTAATTTAACATTATTTGTATCATCCCGTTTAGAAGTCGAACTTTTATTTTGACAGCTCTTGATCCCGCACTGATGACCTGGATATGACCATGCTTCTGTTACCGCATGCACTTGCACTACTCCAGCGTGTGGCTTCTTGTGAATAACACTACAGTCAATATCCCGTTTTGCAATGCAGTCCTTTAACCTATTATTACTACAGTATCCGCCATTTGTAGTTGGAGGTGTTGGAGCGACGGCGATTGCTGCAGGGGGAGCGCTAATCTATAGAATTGCAACCAGGTAATGTTATTGTGTCCCTGCCCGTAAAATATCGCTGGGCCTCGTATAACAGACATTAATATTTAGCTAGGGCTAAGAACTACACTGCACTTTTCCCACGTTTTCCTATGTAATTAACATGCATTGGCAGTAATATTTTCAACAGTTCGGCCATGAAAAATACTTGTGCACGCGCGGAGATATTCAATGGCGCGTGCTACACAAACAAGCGCGCGAGATTTCGTAAAAAGGCAAGTCTGTGGTACTTGAAATAGACCGTTAAATTAATATTTTCCACCACAAATATCATAAGTACTACAGTTATCGTTACTTCTGTAAATCAATGATTAATGTAATTAAGGCACTGATTCCTTCAGTGCTTTTTACTGGGTTTTTTCCCCCCTGAAGGCAGTGGTGGTTAAATTACTGATACCTATTCTAAGTAATTATGTTTTGTTTTTTTGTTACGGACAACTGATTACCATGGTAAGAGCGACTTATTTGGAAAAGACTTATTTCTATCAAACTGTCAAAAATGATGCGTATAATGCTTGACTGAAAGCAATATTGGAAGATCCCAACATTAATCCTCCTTCTATTGGTATTGCAAAATGCTCTGCTGTGATGTAAAATTAACCAGTCATATTTTTTCTAGTCCAAGATATTTATTAACACTTTTTAATAGGCCGTGCAGTAATAGCATATGTGATTAATTTCCTGGATTTTAATTCCTTCAAATTTCTGCCTAATGTTAAACATGTCATCACTTGTCTTAATGTGGATGAGGTTATCATTTATAATGTCACAAGCTGAATTTGTTAGTGTAATCAAGCCCCTATCAGCTTGTAAATAGAAACTTTATTCATGCTACTGTTAGGTAATCACTCAGGTCCCGAGATTACTGATTGTGCTGTCTGGAAAAACAAAATCCCAGTTTTACATTAGATTCAACACTTAGGCTTTGCATTAATTTCCACTGAATGTCTTGCATGTCCAATGGAAATTGATACAGCCAAAAACACTGGACCGCTGTAGTCCTAATTATTGTCTGCAAAACAAGCCTGTGACCTGTTAATTGAGAACCACTCTGGTGGTCTGTCAGGTCAGTGTTAATGGGAGTATTGTATTACAGTTGTTTTCTGTTATTAATGCATGGTAATTTGCAGCAGTTCTTCTAAATCCGACCCTTCTTATTCGACAGGAAAAAACCAACTCATGTCAAAGTGAATTGTTGGTTCTGCAATCAGGACACAATTGTCCCCTATGGGAACAGAAACTGCTGGGATTGTCCATACTGTGAACAGTATAATGGCTTTCAGGAGGTATTGACTTAATTTAGACGTTTTTTTTTGTTCTGTCTAAAGGTAAATGTTTTGAAAAGAAAAAAAGTATAAAATTGTATATGTATTTATTTAAACACTACCTTTCAAAGTTTGGGGTTGGTAAGATTTTTTCAGTGTTGTTGAAAGATGTCTCTTATGCTGACCAAGAATGCATTTATTTGATCAAAAATACAGTAATATTGTAAAATTAAGTTTTAAAATTACTTGCATTATAAGTGTCTTTTTGTATGTGTGTGTGTGTGTGTTTTCTATTATAATTAAAAAATGTATTGCTGTGTTGCTGCTGCAGCTTTTGGATATGCTATAAATGCATTTTTGTTTTGTGCTTGTTTTTGATCTGTAGAACGGGGACTACAACAAACCCATTCCTGCTCAATACATGGAGCATCTCAACCATGGCGTTTCGGCCGGTGTCCCGGAGACACCGAAGACTCTGCAGTGGGTCAACTGTCAAATGCTTCTGTGCAAGAAGTGCAACAACAACCAGACACTGAAGATTAAGCAGCTGGCCTCGTTCATCCCCAGGGATGATGTAGGTTTATAATTCACCCATTTAATCTCTTCATTTCAAGATAACCAATGTCTAAAGCTCGTTTTTGAATAAGATTTGCTTTTATGCTTTTTATACAATTTTGAGGCAAAAACGTTTCTGAATAAGATTTGCTTTTATGCTTTTTATACAATTTGTGGGCAAAAACGTTTCTGAATAAGATTTGCTTTTATGCTTTTTATACAATTTGTGGGCAAAAACGTTTCTGAATAAGATTTGCTTTTATGCTTTTTATACAATTTGTGGGCAAAAACGTTTCTGAATAAGATTTGCTTTTATGCTTTTTATACAATTTTGAGACAAAAATGTTGTGTATTAAATATGGCATTCAGTAGGCATCTAAACATTTCTATACTTCAAAGTCGTATTTATTTGAGCTAGAATAAACATCTTAAATTATTTTTATATGCATGTAATCATCAGCTCAAAAACAAGTAACATGCAAGCAATTGCAAAATTTAAAGTAATATTTTACCCATAATGACAGGAAAACTATGATGAGGAGATCGAGGTATATAAGCACCACCTTGAGCAGACCTTCAAGTTGTGCCGGCCGTGCCAGACAGCAGTGGAGTACTACATCAAACACCAGAACCGACAGCTGCGTGCTCTGCTCTTCAACCACCAGCTCAGACGCAGTCGGGATGCTGATAAAGCCTTTATTAAGGTGGTGATCTCTATATATTTATATGGGTTCAAATCAAGCCACAAGACTTGACATGAAAAATACAGAAAATTCCACTTTTATAGCACCCTGAAGTGTATGTTCTAGAATGCTAAGAGTTTGATTAGGTGCCAAGGGCTTGACATGGAGAAATTGCACTGAATTTAGATGTTGCCCAGATAAAACTGCAATTTTACTACAACCTAGGTATCGTTTGTAACGTGTATCAAGTGTGATTAATGACCAGTCTGTTACTAGTGTTTTCTTAAACCGCAGATAAATATGTGGAATTGATTGCCAGAGATAAGGAAAGACCTGTTCTCTCTTGCTTCTTTTGTTTCCTGAGTATTTTATTGTGCAGCTACTGTTAATTCAAGTTTAGTTTTTAATCAGGCTTGGCATGCTGCAAGTATCAATTATATTTTGTCTTTTTTTTTATATCCTTTTCTACAGAACAACTACTCACTCACCACTCCTGCCTGGTTGATCTTGCTCAGAGTCCTTGCATTTCTCGCCTGTGCCTTCCTTGTAGCTGTGGCTTTGTCTGAATCTGGAGATGTGGCCTCCTCCGTCAGGCAAACCTTAAGCGGAGGAGTCACCCCACCTAAACGCCCCCTCCAAAATGACAGTGAAAGCAAGGCTGAGGAGGGCAGCATGATGTGGGATGATCTGGTGGGTCTTCTGCCGGAAAAGGCTGTGGAGAACGCTCGACTCGTCTGGCAGTCCGGAAGTGACCATCAGATGGCCGTGGCCTCTGTTGGTCTCCTAACTTGCATCACAGGTGTCTTAATGGCAGGACCTGTCAGGTGAACCAAATAAAATATACATTATTTATTTCATGAAAAAATACATTTACCAATTTGTACGTATTTTTACATTTATTTGACATATTAAGTAAATATATATGTAAATATCTGTGCGTGATATTATGTAATTAAAGAATGTGAAATATATTTTATAATTCATGTATGAAAAAATGTATGTATATGTGTGTATATAATAAAATTATAGAGACAATTATATATATATATATATATATATAAATGATAAATTGATAAATATATTTATAATTACTATATAAATGAATGTATATATGTATGTACATTTATTTTAATTATAAATCTCAGCTAAATAGTTATTA